ACACTTTTCACTTTTAATTGAGCGATGTTGTCATCCATTAGTCATAACATCAACGAATACAAGCTCAATAACATATTTACTGTAAATCGTTTAAACGAGTTTGTAGGGGGATCCAATTTGGCAAATCAAATATGGTTTTAATATTCCTCAAACAGAATATGACAGTTACAAGTTCAAGAAATATCATATTCAATCTTTTAAATTTTGTTTATTAAAAAATACCCGATTGTTATCGTCTTATAGAAATGCTGAACGCGATATACAAGTCACGCGATGAGGGGTTCGGAAATTTTCGAGCCCTTCGAATACGAATACATGGACAAGTTTTTTTTATAACTTTTGCGAATAAAAAAAAATATTAAAGGTTGTGGTCAAAACCGTTGGTCCAGGAACTCGCTGTTGCTTATCAAGACTGATGCTTATGTTTGCAATAWCATAGCAACATAGTCGASTCTAGATATTTTGGTTTAGTATCCATGCACAAAAGACTTGTAGCCGATGAGGCAATTGGGGAAGAAATGAATGAATGATCTTAATAATACATTTTCGTATTTCCATGGAGATTCGGCTACAATTCATTTTTTCATGGTCACTGAACCAAATTATCTAAAGTCGACTATCAATATTTTATACGTACTTGTTTGTTGTATTTGGAAATGACCCTACAATTTTTTTGGCTATGTTTATTTGAACGGCTTAAGAGGCGCCATCAAGTCGAGTGTCACTTGTGTTGAAACAAGATTATATATGTGTAAGTAATTATGATCGAGTGAAATTATGAGTGAAATTATAATGATCTAAGCGATTATTAATAATTTCATGGCCCGGAAAAAATTCGGGCTTCGGTGGGAATCGAACTCATGACGTAGTTGGCTTCGCAGAGGTCATTGGTTCGATTCTCGGGCGATTTATTTATTAACAATCGTTAAGGTTATTATATAATGTAGAAGTAACTTGAAAAAGGTAGAAGTAACTGGAAATAAGGTAGAATAGAAGGTACGAGTACTTCCTCTGGTTTCAAGTTACTTCACGTGGTACAAATTGCAATCAGGGATTGGCTGGATACCTCATGAATAATTAAAGTGTATGAGAACATAATTTCACTTCAACCACCATGATTACTTACATATTTATTTAACGCAATTTGTACCATCATTTCATCAAGATTATATACATATCATACATGTATATGCACTGGCCATTATAACACTATGGCAGCTACRACGAGAGACTAAATATATGATACACTAGTATGTTCACAAAAAAATGTTGCTTTCTTATGRAATATGTTCATGTTTGTGCCTCTGGAGTCCCAACACGTGTACCATGAAGTTTGATGATCTCTTTGATGATCAAATTTAAGAAAATTTCTAGTCCCAGCATTGTTGAACAACAATTAAAAATCAGTTTTTCTTGGTAGAGTCTSTTTCATATATTCGTACACGTTGTAGCCATTACAGTGCTATTTCACAAAACTGAATACTGGATGCCTTGGTATCTTGCTCCAAGACCGAAATGCATTGTTGATGTCATATTCCTCATATTGTCGCCTTAAAAACGATATGCAACACTAAAATGAAATGCTTTCTAACGAATTTGCAGACCTGACAATTGTGAAAACCTCTTTAAAAGCGGTATTACTCAAGGYGATCAACAATGCATTTTAGTAGTTGAATACAGTATCTTCATTTTCTGAAYCAGCTATTTATGTACACCTAGATGTTTTTCAGATAAGCCTGCAATATTATTACTCTTATTYGCCATGTAACTGTTATGTTTTATCTGTGAAAACCTAATTGCACAAACGATATCACAGGAGAAAAACAATTGGTGATTTAGCGAGGGTAAAAAATTACCGATACAGAAAAAGAGAGTTCAGTTTGAGAAAATGTTTACCTTAATCTGATGATTTCCTATTTTCTGAAAAACCATGTTCTATTTTTAATGGGATTTTTATCAAAAGCAGGTGAATGTTGGATCTTGGAATGGCCTTGGGCTTTTCAATGTCAAATGGTGACAAGCTTGACATTATAAGTATATTCATCTGTCATTCTATAATCTTCCCATAAGTTTCCAGCTTGAAATAACGATTTTGTTGTCAGGGTAAAGATTTCATTAATTGGAAAGAGTAGAGGCAAATGCCGAAACATGTTTGCTTACTTTTGAAAYATCCCTAGACCTCAGGACAATGTTTTTGCAATTAAGTGGAAAAGACTCGACCTGGGGGATCTTCTTTTAGCTTTAAGGGACCATCACAAACCGACATTCAATACGGTCGTGGCTTAGATTTCTAATGTGCAGAAAGTGATTGGAGTTCTAATATCCATTCACAATACGTTTGGAACCACATGTCAGTTTTAAGAAGGAATCTCAAAATATCTCTATTCATAGAACACAAAAGGATAATAAAAAGTAAGTTTTTTCTTATATTACGATTTATTTTTTTAAACGTAAACCCAARCTCGAAAAGGATGCCGGTTAGTGATGGCCCTTTGATGTATTTCTTTTCCGGCTAAAGAACAAMAGTTCTATATTTTGTTTTACAACTTTTTAAATTTCTTGTGAGTAGATGTATATAGACAAATTGTAAATATTAGTCAAATATTATTGGATTTTATGATATAGTGTTATCATACGTGTTTTGAAAATTGTAAATTAATTGGTATATTTTTATATTAAATAATAGTGGAATTTCGTCTGTTCTTAATTATTCTCTCTTTATGATTTTTAAGGCCTCATTGAACTCTCGAGAAAAATATTAAGTCAAGAAGGACCTCGGAGACGAAGGTCTTTGAGCGGGAACCCTCAATCATCCCTCTGCCATTTTAAAAAATCTAAGAATTTTTTTCTAGATCCAAAAAAATAAGAATTCTAAGTCACGAGGGACCTCGGAGACGAAGGTCTTTGAGGAATCCGCAATCTTCCCCCTGCCATTACAATCTAACAATTTCTTTCTAGATCCAAATCTCTACCTTTTTCTTTTTAGACCTCTCCGCGGTCATCGATTATCGGACTGGTTTTGCGGTGGTCTAATGTGAATTCAACACAAAACCCTCACAAAAAGTCGGTTTTTGATAATGCTATCGTCCCGTTGGTAACCTATGTCCTTGTTGTATTGGAATTCAAGATGGCGCGCGTTTTGTGATAAGGCGAAATTTTGAACTAAAATATTCTAGCGTGCAGAAGGTATACAATACTCATCAGCGAGCTACTAAGTCATTGTTATACTTAATCAATTATGGCCAATCAAAATGCTCAAATATTTTTTTTTTCGGGGTGGAGAAATAATTCCAATCATTTTTTATCTGATTTTACAATAGCGTTCGTGCATTTGATTTAGAACCACAAATTCGCCCACGAACAAGATATATATTTTCCGTGGCCAGTAAAATGGTGCATATAATTTTGATTATTAAGCGTCTAGATATATACAAGATAGCGAAGTCACAACGCCAAATTTTATCTAAGAGATAAAACHGAGGCAGGTAAAAAGGCGTTTGAAATTGCACTTTTCCACATGGATTCATTGATTTGCAATCCAAAACCTAAACATCCACAAAAAACAAGCCATTTCTCTCGCGATTATACCTTGGAATCGCATCAGATTAAGCCTGAATAAATCTCATAATCCAGAATTAAGTCTACTTGATAAGGTATAATTCTTTGCAGAGTAATTGATATAAAACTCTTTTCATTTTCTGACGGAGATATAAAGCAAAACAAGATGGAAGCCGCTTYTTGATAAATCGTTGCATGAATCAGTAATTGGAATTTGTATTTTTGCCGCGAGATATAACTTATTCAATGTTAAGCTACTCTGTCGTGCTGTTATAAAACATCATTTGTTTATTTAATCATTGCTGTATGCCTCTGTAATGAAARTACCTTGTGTCTTTTATTTAAATTTGATGTACTTCAAAATTTTACCGATAAAATTTGATGACTGAAAAAATAAGTGAAATTCCGTTAGAGCGCTAACYGYCATRATTRAAACCATAATATTCAAATATCCTCTGTAATTATGTTAGTGTGTAATGTTTTTGGCACTCTCCTTTGATGATTTTTTCCTTCTCTGTATTTTTTATGACAGATGAAATTTCCTTCCACCAGATGCTCTAAATATAGCTTTGATCTTAGCCAATCAGCGTCAAGAAATCAAGTTAAATTGAAAATGTGGCAGGGACAAGCGAAGCACTAGAATTAATCCATAAAAAGAAAATCTAAAAAAAAATAAGCATTTTGCAAAAGCAAAAATATCGTATATATGTGTGCATTGTGGGTAATTYTCAATGAAAAGCAACTAAAATCCACTTTAAAGTAAAATGCTCACTAAATTTTCGTTAATATGTTGTTTAGATAAATTGAATCGAATGTTGACAAAAATATTAGCAAMTATCAAAATGGTATTATTATCATTATTGTGTAAATCCCTATTTTTATATAAATTCGCAACGAGCGGCAAAGAAGAACATCAACAACAAAWATTTATTATAGGATAAGCAATTGGACTAATGCAGTTTACAAATATTATTTTCATAATCCCCCTCTAGTAAAATATGCACCAAGTCTTCCTTGTGAAACGTTTTGACTCTCTCSGACAGCTTTCATTAACAAGTAATCGCACGTGTTTAAAGTCCTAATACATTTAGCTATAAACACTCGTTTACTAAAAACATATTTGGCAATGAGGGAACGTTAGCAAGGACTAAAACTATTAGGGAAAATATTGCTAGCGTTTCCGTTATAAATTTTTTCCGAGCGCGTTATAAGAAGCATTAACTAATTTGTAGTGTAGCGTCAATTATAGCTCGCGGAATCTGATTGGCTAGTTACATTAGCGTTATTGTAATGGTTACATGTAATATGAATTGGCCTTCAGGCTCTGGTTCGGGTAAGTTTTGACATTTTCTCATATAAAATACGAGATTAAAATCACACAATCAAGCATGCTGGATGCTAGCATCTCATATATTTTAGAACATCTTAAAGTTACTCTTTGTAGAACGTTTGTAATGTTAAAAGAGAAAAAGATTCCAATAATTTTGAACGACAGCTGTTACTGAATTGGCACACCGCTGGATCATGGGCTCAGGATTGGGAAATGTAAACACATTGGACTCGTAAGATCGACGAGCATTAGTTAAGGTAAACTTGCGTGTTTTCTCACTGTCTTTACTGTATTTTCCTTTGCATGATAGCCTTGTTTATTGTACAAGTCAACCCGATAATTACCAGAGAATTACTCGCTAAAGTCACTTTTTCGTCAGGGTTTTCAAATTGGTTAATAATCCCTCTAAAATTGAAATTCGTAACAAAAATACTTATGAACAATGTTATTAATTATAATGTTGTTTAGGGCGATTCAACTTCTAGTTTTTCTAYATTTCCAATGGTAATTGTTTCGGTCTTAGATGTCATGAGCGAAAGTATAATTTATTCCTTTAATTTGTCAGCTTTTGTCTTTCATCGTGACTCAAAATATTCAAAAGCTCAAAAGCTTTTTACTTATTCAGGTATCACTTTGAGATCTAAACCTGATGTTGATACCAAAAAGAACGATCATTTTAAAAGATTTCGTTTTATTGCTATAGTACCAGATATTACTATACACAAAAAGCCACAAGACTCACTGATCTGTCATTTCTCTTTAGTTTCAATATTTTTCTTAGCCATTTTAACAGCATTAATTTCATCAACCCATGTGTTGCTAGTTATCTTTCGTATATTTAAAAAAAAAAGCTATTCCTCCCCGCTTTGACAACACTGACAATATATTTCAACAATAGAAATTCTAATTTGTTCTTTGAACTCTGCGGTGTGTTGAAACATTTCAAGAAATATTTGGTTAAATATTGTGGTGTTCTAGTCAAAATTCAAATGAGTTCACGATACGTAGGCCTCCTGCCTCTCTCTGCTTGACAATACCATACATAACAATAAAAAAAATTTGGATTTGTATTAAGGATAAGTGTTGATGGAGATTTACTTTTGAGAGCGAGCTGGAGATCTTCGAGAAAACTCCGCAACAATACATTTTGGGTGAAGAAAATGCGTCTAAAAAGCCAAAATTGTTGTTGATTCCATTTTGTTCTTGAAACTCTCTTTAGGTCGAGGGCTTAGTTGTATTTATAAATCACTAGCCATTACAAATACAATTTTAAGGTAAATATTGATTGTTTAATGTATGAGTCATACAGGAAATATCGTTATTCGTATGTGCAAAGTAACCAGATTTATGGACAGTCTTCACTGTTGCTATATCATGACAAAGAGAATGTAGGCTAATTTTCGTTTGTCTTTACGAAAGGAATAGTATTATGTTTGGAGTAGACTCACTTTTTCAGCGCTTTTATTCCTCAAAGACTAGCCGGCGCACATGTAGGATTCCTAGATTCCTTACCATGTTTTCAGTACTGACAGACAACAAAAAAACCCTCTCACTTTCAGAAAGCTAACATCAAATTTCTTTTTTCAGAATTATAAAGCGAAAATGACGCTTTCTTCATGGTGATTGCTGTCAAGAAATAAAAAAAAGCTTTGAAAATGAGCCATGAATTCTACGACAGCGCTAATAATAAGCAGTTTGCTGGCTGTGACCACCGGTAAGTCGACAGACAAGGATTGTAACTCACGTATGAAGCAATTTGAAGACTGTCGTGGGGAGATTTGAAGAAGAGTCCAAGAGCGAAAGTTCCAGTGTATTAATGACTAGCTTTTAAGATTCCGCCATAATTGACAGTCAAAACGCCTGTTCCAATTATATGAAGATCTTCAATAATGGTTTATTACTTGTTTGTCCACGTTTTCCACATTAACTTTCGGTCGTGCACTCTCAAATCTCACCGACAACATAATTATTGAACTAACTATATGATTTATTTTTTTTATAAATCCTTTAAAATTAATATTAATCTGTAGAAAGCATCAGTCACATAAACCCCTATCGGCCGTCTTCTGTTTATCGCACTCAGAAACCTGAGTATGGGCTAGAAATTTTAGAGAGACGATTTTTCCTCCAATTTGATAACACTGGGTTTCCCAGACAGTGCGGCGCCCTTTGCAAATAGTATTTTATTGTTGATGGTAATGATGATAATATCACACCACGCATTGGCAACAAAAAGATAGATTATGCACCTTTAAAAAGGAGAGAAACGTTAATGGTGTTTGGCAGGGACGTTGGTCTCTCGTGTCGGAATAAATTAAAAGACCCACGTCCGAAACGTACGTAGGTTTTTTTTATCTTATTGAAGTGCATAATTTATGGTTTTATCACAACTACTTCATTAGAAACACCGCCACAATCCACATAAGTGTACATGCATCAGTACTTTCAGAGAACAATGCGTCCGCCATCTTGAGAAGTGAGACCCGAATCACTATGTTGTGCCTTACAACACATTTCGTAGTTGCAAAGTCAACTAATCTATCATTACATTGGATTATATTAACTTGACATTAGCCTAGAAGCTTTTAATTCCTTAAGGAGTTATAATTTAGTGATTCGAGTCCCACTTTTCAAGATGGTGGAAGTATTGAACTCAGAAACTCCTGACGCATTCCTCGCACTATGCTAATTTTAAACTTGTCATACCTCATCGCGCGTTTTGCAGTTGATCAGGATCTAAGTTTATTTTTCACGTTCTAAACGAGCAGAAGACTGACACTGGATGGAGGGGCCTGCCCAAATGACCAATGTTACAAAGGCTCGTCATAATGACTGTGTAATGACGATACTTTCTTGATAATTTATTAATATTTACTATTATTTACTATTATCTACAGCTATTCCTACAAGATGTATTCATAAAAKACCTATACCATCATGTACCCATATTGTGGCGTATCTAGGATCTTCAGTAAAACTAAACTGCTCCTCGCTCCTCAATCCGCGATCCAATGATTCWGATTTTCSYGACATYACGTGGTACAAGTATGGCCGACCGTTGAGTGACGTAACATTTAGGCCAATGGAAGCTGTCYTGAARAGTGGCAATCACATTCTCTGGCTTAGTGAAATTTTACATGCCGACGCAGGGATTTATGTTTGTGYGMGAAACATTGGCGGAAGGAGACAMGARAARGCTTTCAGCTTGTCTATTAGAGGTATGGCGCCAACTTGGAATCTTAGTCATATCCCTTAGAATAGAATACTGTTTCTTCTTATCGTTTGTTATCGGTAAGGTATTGCACACAAATGTTGGACAACAAGAAATATAACTTAAAAATTGCTAGCCGCTTTTCGTGTTATCCATCTCYAAATGCATAGATCCTTTGAACATATGTGAGTTTGAGTTTGTTTGATGTGTTGTTCTCTCCCTTGCCACGATGGATTTTTCTCCGGGTCCTCCGGTTTTACTCCCTCAGCAAAAATCAACATGTGAAGAGTGTTGTGTGCTAAAATACTTAATGTAGAGGTAGTGAGTGTGAGAGCACAGGGTCCGCAGTTTTTGGCTCCGCGAGCTGTTGCGGGTGTCCCTGCCCCAACTAGGGGTAAAAGCTAATAAGCAAAGTGTTCATTTTTTCTTTTTTCTTTCAGAATCTAAAACACGATTACCTCCATTGATTATAAACAAAACACACAAGTACAAATCTACCAAAGTAGGCCAAAACGTTGTGCTCAAATGTCAAGCGAGAAGTGGCATCACCCCATATTTTCAATGGTTTTATAAAAAGAAGGGTAACTTRACTTACTACACGGTTAAATTTGACGACGATGTCTTGAAAAAGCCAAAGCTTGTTTCTGCATTGCCAGACAGCAATCGAGYTAACGGCACAAGAATACATGAAGATTCTTTATGGATATATAATGTGACGCTTCAGGATAGTGGACTATATATATGTTTAGTATTTACCAAGCATGGAAAGGATTTTCATGCTATACGTCTTTCTGTGGTACCAGGTTCGTWCAYATTTCAMTATAATTAAGCGGTATCTGGCTGKTTTTGCACATGCGCACACACACGAWTAATTTATTTTTACYRCACTWGTGTAAATTCTYGYGCGCTGATTGGCTGATTAAAGTGTGTCAATAAGAGGACATATTCACTGTGYTGACACGCTCGCGCGCTCAATTAAAAGGAAAGAATGATTTGCACAAATTTTTAGACTAAAAATGCTGTAAAAACAAATTGCACACGGTTTTTTGTTGTATGTCTTCTTATTGACACACTCTTAAGTTTTGAACATTTTATGACATCAAGAGTTTGTCAATAAGAGGACATACAACTCAAAACCATGCACAATTTGTTAACTATCATGGAATTTGGTAGAATAATAGTTTAACTTGATGAAACTTAGTAAGAACCTTGCAAACTATTTCTTTGTGGTACTGGCATTATTCATTATTTTCAATGATTGAAAAGGTCTAATAGACGAAACATGTATCATTGAGAGTCTTGGTCTTTTAGTGTGTCAAAAAGGATAATTTAAAAACAAAAACAGGTTCACATGTAGCATGAAATTTACAAACTCTTTATTGATCAAATTCAAGAAAATTTCTAGCTAATTAAGAACCTAGTTAGCCTAATTTTACACTAAATACCATTTATATAAGAACCTGTTTAGGCTAACTTGAAAAAACCTAGGTTCTTATACGCGGGTTTTTACTGTATCTATAACAATCACTGTGTTTCTTATACTCGGAGCAAATTTCTAACTTGCATCTCTTTGTCTAGAACCACTAGAATCTTCCACTGACCTTGAAGTGCAACACATTCCAAAACTGGATGATGGGAACTCACTCAACTCGAAAATCCCATTGATCATTCTTATTGCCCTGCCGGCAGGGCTATTTATTTTATCATGCACAGCGGTAATACGATCACTGGAGCAATCAAGACAGGCACGACTGGCCAAGAAAAATGCTGCCAATGCATCCAGTGAATCAAAGGATGAAAACAGTAATCAAATGCCTTCTATTGGAATACATMTACAGGAAAATTATGATTATTGTAATCATATTGAGAATAGGACTAGTGGGCATCATATTGATCATTTGAATGAGGAAGCTACGTCAGAAGTTGATTCAAGCTCGTCGCATTCGGAAAATGAGGTGGGTACAGCTTTACCATTTTAAAAGCACTATTACTGTAGAATCTGCATAATCTAGATTAGTTATTTCAAAAAGGGTTGTCGGAGAGAACTGCGATCCAAAATAAGASTCTATTCTAATAACTTCGTGTGTTCTGGGGAAGTGCATTGTGGGCTAAAATCTTCATTAATTACTACTAACAGTTGATGCCTTAAAATACAACCGTATCTTTACAAGTAAATGCGAGTAAACTTCCACTCACACCAGAGAAACGAGTAGGTCATCGGATATACAGATTACTGTCATTATTACATTTGARAAGCCATGGACGTCTTTTGTATAAACTGCTAGATAAACATGATGGACTTCCCAAACCCTTGAAAAAACCGATGTATCTTAAGGCCGAATAAGACTACACAACTTTTGCTTACAACCATCGCATGCGAACCCTGCGTAAGTCGTCCTTACAACATGGCTACAACTGTAGTGGGGCTATTAAGGAATTGTTTTAAATCCCTACTGCAGTTGTAGCCATGTTGTAAGGATGACTTACGTAGGTTGCATGCGATGGGTTGTAGGTAAAAGTTGTGCCGTCTAATTCGGCCTTTAAGGTGTCTATTATGATTTGTGTGATCTATAGACGGGTTCCACAAGTTTGTAGTGTTTCCGAAACTATAATAAACTATTTCTATCTATTCATAGGTTGACGAGTCGTCTTGTAGTCCACTTGACGTCCTTTCAAATATTTCAAGACAGAGYTCTTGYCACCTAACTAGTACTGAGGCTCCGATAACTTCATCTCCTCCACCTGAGCTGAGCTCGTCTAGTGTTGGACTTGATCTTGAATGGGAGGGGCTGGATCTAGTTTTACCTGACGGTTCTGAATTGGTTCAAATGTCAAAAGAAGTCGATGTTTGACAAAGGGGGATCCATTTGTACCAGAAATCTTTCTTATCTGTATTTATAACTATAAAACTAGACGCATASCTGCGTGAACTCGGGGTTCTTGTTGATAAAAATCTAGTATTGAATCCGCAATATTAATATTCAGCGTAAATTATTATATGTGATAGGTTTAACATTCGTACCCAGTGCATTCTCGTTAGCCCGAGGACAATTTGTGACCGAAAGACGACCAACGACGAAAAAGAAAACCGAAACTTAAACTCGGGATTCCTTTGAACCCCGAGTAATTATCTAAATAATSTCATTAGTTTTTGCAGAGATTACCTTTTTTTTCTTATCCTCTTTGGTTACAATTGTTTAAGGCTAAATGGAGGTGAAACCAAGATACAAGAGAAAAGTTGGAAGATTTTTTTGGGATTCTTTACTTCTATACAAATGATGAAGATTGGGGAAATCATAAAGTTAATTCGTTGTTTGTCAGATGAGGAAAGCAATTAAGTTTTATATCAAATATGAATTTTATAAACATCCGGGAAGAGACATATGCGTAAAAGGAAATGTAAAATAAATCAAAGTTAACATAAAATGATGTTACTATTTTCGACTAACAACGGGGTCCGGTAGACTACGAGTTGATAGTCCACGATGAGGGTGCACTGCGGAATTGTCACTGGAAAAAATCGCGCGCTTCAAAGGTTGTAAATTTGATGTAAATATGATGTAAGTGTCCAAAATTCTGTAAATTTAATGGAAATGATTTACATCAAATTTACAGAATTTTGGACACTTACATCATATTTACATCAAATTTACAACCTTTAAAGCGGGCGATTTTTTCCAGTGTGTTTTAGTATCCACCAAACTATTGGGGTCAAAATTGAATCGAGATCATAAAATAATTTACCAACTCTTTCTGTCTTTCTTAATCCGATCCATGGTCTGAATAGTCATGAATACATGTAGGCCATTGCCAATTAGAATGCTGATATTTCTGATAGTCCATAGTTATCGTTGGACACTGAAATATATCACATCTTTGTTTTGTCGAAACTAATTGTTAATTTTCGTTACCATTCAAAGACGCATAGGGTGGTCCCATAACGGGCATGATACACCTAGAGAATTTTAACCGATGGAAATATTTATTTCTACAAATTATATTTCAATCCAGTGATAAATASGAGGATCACATGGCACTACGAAATACGTCAAATAGATATAAAGGAACGTTATAGTGCTTAGAAGGAGGTTATTCTTGGAGAAAAACCCAGCAAGGTCGGAAATTATTTTGTTCGAATTAATTTCCTAGGGTCTTTCACCCGGAATAACCTCCTTCTAAGCACTATACTTTTCTATTGCAATCCAGTGTGCCTTCCATCTATCAGTCCAGTCAGACAGCTATCCACTAATCTAGTTTCATCAAAGTTTTCAATGGAGACTTTTAGTAGAAGTAAAACAATGAATGATTCTTCTATGATTAGCTTTTCATACTGCGCTTTCATGATAATGCTCATTATAGCTCGGTTGGTAATATTAAGTCCATCAAGCTATTCACAGAGATATTGTTCAATAGTATCGATCTTCTTATGGTACTAATTGCAAATGTAATTGACTTAAATTTAAATTCAATCGATGTTTTGATATATTTTCCCTTAAATTGTGATAGATTCCCCCAAATTGTCTTTTACCCAGTAATTGACAAAGCAATAACTAATCAGACAATCATAATCCATAAAGCAAAAGATGAAGAGTTAATTATATCGCCTCATTGTGATATACTATTTATGTCGAATTCAAAATGGCTAATCACGATTAAGCGGACATCTGCTGGTAACCATCGAATGTGTGTAAAAGACATTTTTGTCTCTACTTTACATCAGGACATTTTGTGACTGCCAGCATCCTTGTCCCTCGAAGTTGTGTTTTTTTCTTTATTATTTTTCGAAGTTGAGTTGGTTTTTTTTCTCTTTTCTCCCACTATTATATTGCTTTTCGTTATTGCTTTTCGTTATTGCTTTTCGTTATTGTTTTTCTTTATTGCTTTTCGCTATCTTCAAATGAGACGCAATGAGGATGTGTGTTTTTTTATTCTCTTTTTTTAGTTAACATTTTCTCTGATGGAAATAGCAACAACGGCTTGACGCGATGTGGGAGCAAACAAAAATCTAACATGTTATTTCTTACAAAAATGATTAATTGGAAGTTTTGATTTTGAAGAATTCTCCAGACTATTCAATCTCGGATAATCTGTTTACCATAGCGCAGCTCACATAATGGTAGAGGCATAATTTATTATTAATGAAACCTTTATTACTACACTATTGGTTAACTGTCTTTGCATCATGCAGTTTTCAACGGCTTTTGTCTAAGACATCTAGACATGKTTTTCAAGCCTGTTTTTCAGACCACTCTTTAGCTTCTCAAGGCAACTAGGAAGGAGTTGGAATGAACTCCTCCATGGCGATTTCACTCCTGATTTTACTATTCTTGGGAGTGAACAACAGCAAAGGCCAAGACACTTCTGGCCTGATATTATTTGATTATCATCGCAGTAAGAATTTAACTCTGCCGAGCAAAGACAAAACACAGTCCCTTCAAGTCAAGGACAAGATGAAATGTTTCGGCAAGTGCATCGAAATTGATTGGTGCCAATCGGGTAATTTCAAGACAACTCCTGAAGATAATGGTCTTCATGTTTGCCAACTTCTGCCTTCCGAYCGGTTTACGAAAACTAATGCCTTAAAAGACGACCCAGTATACGAAAACTTTAACATTAAGGTAAGGTAGCTGATGAGGATGTTTTCACTGACGTTTTTACTAGTTTTAATTTAAGGAAAAATATCCTCTTGATCAATAATCATTAAATACTCCTCTTCCTTTTGTTTCTTCCTGTTTTTCTTCTGCATTTTCTTATTCACCAACAAGATCTTCCCTTTCTTTTTCTTTTTTCTCTTCCWTCAACAACATCTTTCAAATCTTTGCAAAGCATCTTTTTCATTTCTTTTTTACTSCTCGAGTTCTTCATATTTGCCAAGTGTATTTTTCCTTTATTTCCTTTTKGTCTTCTTTCGTCAMAACCCAGAGCTACTTTTTCGTGAACAACAACTTCGACTTATTTTTTGGTMTCTCTGTATTTTCATTTCAYTATTGTTTCATTATACATGTTCCAAACATTTTTCACTTTAGACCCCATGCCATATCAAGAACAAGCCATGCCTTAATGAAGGCAAATGTGTCTTTAAAAACAGCAAGCACCAATGTGAATGTAAAAATGGCTATTCTGGAGAACAATGTGAAATAGGTATAGCCTTAAAATTAAGTAGATGTCGAGYTATTTATTTGTCGTTTTTATTTCTATCTGATGTCAAAGAAACACTGGAAAATACAGCGCTGTAAATTTGATGCAAAAACGATGTAAAAAGGATTGGACACTTACATGATATTTACATCTTATTTACACAATTTTTACGCATACATTGTAAATTTGATTTGCATCACATTTACACACTTTACAAACGCTGTAGATTTAATGGAAATATAAAGTAAATTAAAATCCAAATTAACAAWATTTCTATGATTGTGGGCACTTACGGGATCCGATATTCACAACCTTTGTAATTATTATAGATTGAATTTACATTATATTTCCATTAAATTTACAACCTTCAAGGAGGCGATTTTTTCCAGTGAAACTGCATATTTTGTAAGAAAGATATGCCATGTTCATTGATTGGTAGTTAAAGCGACATCATTTTTTGTTTACAGAGCCACCAAAATCTTGCAAAGAACTTCTTCAAAGGAACTCATCTTTGACTACCGGTTTGTATCCAATCTTCCCSACTGGTACCCATGCTATCAAGGTCTACTGTGACATGGTAATGGAAGGCGGAGGCTGGACACTAGTTTACAGTTATACTTTCACAAGATACTATAGTTTTACAAGCGGGTTTAATGCAGTGACACCACTGCCAAGCTGGCCAATAAGTGGTAATGTACCAATATCGAACACCGCTCCTCTCAATGAAAATAATTGGGCCGCTTTGGAGTTTAAACTGTGGAAGAATATTGGAGGTGAAGAGGTAATTAAATCGTAGCAAATACTTTTAACAAAGAGTAATGTTCCTAACGTCCAATCATGAAGGGTTTGCCAAGTTTTAAGTGAATGCTGGTTTCAAGTATTTGATCGCCGGAATTATCCATATCAAAGCGTTTTTGTGCAACAAAAACAACAACAAATGATGGGAGTTGTCGTCCTCGCMCTTTTTCATGTCCACTGAAATTGTTCTCACGACCTTTTTAACTCTTGGGAGCCTAATTTCTGGGAGAGGCAACAAACGATAAACGGTTAACCTTGGGATCCCGTCCTTGCACATTGCCCATTGGCAACAATGAAAACGTTTTGATTGTTTCCTGTAYATTCTTGTTTTTTCTATTTATTTCGGTATTAATACGCATGCTCATATAGAACTCCCGAACCTGACGAACCCACTTGGACCATCCAGTGTTTGCTTTAGATCATGTGATTAATTGGTCAAAATTGCACCCTAACTAGATGAAATATAAAATCACACAATTTAAAACTCGAATATTATGCAAGCATGGATATTTATAGTCTACTCGCAGCCGTGTTTAGTTTCAGTCACGCGTCACGCAACCTCTCCACAAGTGGTTGCGTGACGCGTGACCGAAACTAAACATGGCTGCGAGGAGACTAGGATATTTATGAAGAACAGAAAACGAGATACACACCTCAAATCTCGGCCAAAATAATTCTAGTTCAGAGCTGATCAGCAAAGTGTCAGTAAATGTTTTGCTTTTGTAGATCATCGTTAAATCCAACATCAATCATTGGATTCTGTGCAAAGAAGGACCCGCAAGTCTGGTGAACTCGAAACCCGGAAGTATTACATGCAGAGTGATCAAGAATGTTGCTTCAACTTGTCACGATAGTGCCCCTACATCTTTAGTTTTTGAGAATTATGGAGTATCGTTCCTTCGGGGTAGTTCGTACTACATCTTTGATGGCATGACCAACGCTCATTGGCCATCTCATGATCCTTGYGGACAAAATAGTGAGAACCACAAAAAGGATGTTATTAATCCCCATGGCAACATTTACATACGCTAAACGGGAAAAAGGCATATGGAACATGTATAACGATCCCGCGTTTCGCCTAAGCTTCTTCTTGGATTAGATCCTCACATCAAATACTCGTGAAAAAAATAACTAGCATGCTACCTAATAACCAAGCCTCGCTACTTGTACCGGAGCACAAAACCTTCACCAGCTTTTTCTAAGGCCCTGTTTACATAGTTACAGTACTATTTCTGTTTGTTGTTGCGTTTGCATAGCCCATATCACAAGCCGCCATTTTGAATGGTTTTGCAATGTATCATGGGATATATATATATCTCCCTTTCTTCATCAAAGCAAATCGCTAAAATCGTAAAAACACTAATTAGTTTCGATTTTTCCACAGACAAAATATGTTTCTTTTCATTTTTGCTTGATTTGTCTAGTAAATGGAAATTCTTGATTAACTGTAAATTTTTTGGAGGTTTTTCTTGCTGTRTTTCCTTGCATGTTGATATTTGTTTGTTTTTCCGCCTCTGAGATTAACTATAATATCAATATTTCCCAATGTTTTTCGAAAACTGAGTYTAAGTTACAGACAACTGGAGCACTGACATCGTCGTTCACTTGTTTACTCATTCATCAATCCCAAAATGCACTGCGTCACAAGACTTTCCGCGGGTTGATATATGTCTGGGGGTAGGACCACACTATCTTCAAGACGATGCAAACACTAATAAACTCGTTCCACCTTGCTGAGATCTCAAAAGACTTAGAAATAATAACTTTTATAGACCTTTTCGCGTTTAAAAAAAGGCGGGCAACATGATTTCTGCAGCCTTCAAATGAGCATGAGTGCCAAGTCAAGACAAAGTCATTATGACTTTTGCCATCAACAAAATTGTTTTCCTGACATTGCAAAAAGATCAACAAGCTCAAAAAGGACAATTTTCGGATTGTTGCCCGATTCTGCCTCGCTTTGGTGCAAAACCACAGGCCACTAGCGCGGATTGTTTTCTAACCGCGAAAAGCTATGATTTTTCTTTTACTTTCTTTGTCCTTATCTTTTTGTAAACAATATCTTAGCTTTAAAAATGTTTTGAACGAGCCCTGTCCATAAGCTAAAAAATAAGCAAGACTCGTGCATCTCTCTTCCAAGCCAAAATCGTCTTCTTGTTCTTCTTTGTCACTTTTCTTTTTCACGTTGTTTTTTTAAGTGCCCTATTAACAGTATGACGAAGTGTCTCAGTTGCAAGATGCTCACTTGTAGTTTAGAGAATACAGAGAAAAAAAGTATAACAAAGTACTAGTTTGTGACACATAGTTTTGGATATTTACAGTGGATATTTACATGGAATTTACAGAGTTCAAAGCGCACGTTATTATCTATTGATGTTAGAAATGGAAGGACTACAAAATAGTGCACTTCTATTCAAGTTCAATTAGCCGTTCAAATAAAAAAAAAGTGTGTGCATGAATTTTGTTAAAAAATAGCTTATTGCCATCCTCTTGATCAGCTACAACAAATTGAATTTAAAACAATACACTTGTTACACAGCAGTCGAAATAAACTTCTCTAAAAACGTATTATATAATTATCATTGTCCTTTCATGAAGACATTCACTGGCTTCACAACGAGTCAGCTAATTATTTATTTTAAACTTAGAATAATATGAGTTTGAACGATTGATTATTTCAATTAGCTACAAGTTTAGTAGCCTCCTTTGCAGACGTTATTAGTATSKGTCATACGTTCCCTCTCCAGGTACATATGACCGATACTAATTAACGTCTGCAAAGGAGGCCTACAAGTCTAGCTACATTTTTTTATACGATGAAGACAAACTTACCAAAAAAATTAATAAAACATTGTAACGAATACCTACTATGAGATGTTAAAAGTATTTGTGTGTCTTTGCGTGTGGTGTGTCTGGAATACTACTGTCCTGTTATCATAGTTCTGTTTCCACAGTGACAGCTATGCATATCTTGTTATGAAAGACTTTGACACACGATTGGTTGGATAGGAAAATCGTTGGCATACATACCTCTTTTCTAGACATGCCAAAACTCTGTTATTCAAGTTCTGTTATTCATTGTTTATAATGTAGGCTTGGAAGGAGTGTCTCGTTAAAAACGCTGCCTGCGCATAAGGTCCTCTATGGCGACCTTGTTCGTTTTTATCCTGTTGCTTGTAGTAAACAATAGCAAAGGCCAAGTGGCATCTGACCTGACGTTATTTGATTATCATCGTAGTAAAAATCTAACTGCGCCAAGTACAGCCCGAATTCACTCTCTTCAGGTCAAGGACAAGATGGAATGTTTTGGCAAGTGCATTGGAGTTGATTGGTGTCAGTCGGGTAATTTTAAAACCACTCCTGAAGATAGTGGTCTTCATGTTTGTCAACTTCTGCCTTCTGATCGATTTACGAAGATTAATGCTTTTAAAGACGATCCAGAATGCGAAAACTTTAACATTAAGGTGCAGTAGCTGGTTTTTATCAAAGTTGAGCTTGAGTAAAATATCATTTTTATTAGTTTTTCCCGATAAATCACACCCCTCAACGTTCTTTTTTTTTTTTAAACCGTTTCTACACTTTTCGGTTTTGAGCTCGAGGAAAATATGATGTAATAGACTGTGAGTCGTGGCTTTCCATTCGTGATTTTCCTCTCTTGTTTTCAAGCCCCTTTCATCACAGCCAAAATCATTTTCGTCTTCACTTTCTTGAACTGCTTTGTCACTTTTTTTATGCAAGCTGTCGTCTTCTTTTATCTAATCATACATGTTTTGAAAATTCTAACTTTAGACCCCATGTCATATCAAGAACAAGCCATGCCTGAATGAAGGCAGGTGTGTCTTTAAAAACAGAAAGCATCGATGTGAATGTAAAAATGACTATGCAGGAGAACAATGTGAAAAAGGTATTGTCTTAGAATTAAGAAGACGTCGTGTCTTGATTTCTTTACTTTATGTTATTGTGTACTAAATCTTTTTTGCGTTGGAAAAGGATACCTAAGGACTTGTATCGAGGGACTGCACTAGGGCATGCATTGAAAGCACTCGATTTGCGTTTGATGTGCAGTTACTTCAGGGACCATATGAATCACATCAACTACTCACATGTATAGTCGAAGCAATGAAAGTCGTTTGCATTTTCTCCGAGATAGAGCTACTTTGTGTTGTTCAAGAAAACTGTGCTATATTCATTCATTGTCAGCCAGACAGACATATAAATTATACATAATTGTTTTATTTCAGAACCACCGAAATCTTGCAAAGAACATCTTCAGAGAAACGCTTCTCTGACATCCGGATTGCATTCGATCTTCCCCAATGGTGTCAATGCCATCAAGGTCTACTGTGACATGGAAATGGAAAGTGGAGGCTGGACACTAGTTTATAGTTATACTTTCACAAACTACGGTAGCTTTAGTAGTGGTACGAATGCAGTGACACCACGGCCAAGCTGGCCAGCGGGTGGTGACGTCCCTTTATCTACCACCCCTCCCATTAGTGAAACTGATTACGCTGCTTTGGAGTTTAAACTATGGAAGRATATTGGAAGTGATGAGGTAATTAGCGGTGTGYTGCTTACTTTTAACTTCTTTTTAACCGGTTGGAATAATCTTATAATTCTAGCATTTTTTTACAAGTGGCAAAAGATAATCCCGTTATGTACATTCATTTGTATTTTTATCATTTCCTCTTGAATATGATTCGAAATGGTTGAAGTTTGTGAATTATAAAGTCTATCAAGATCGCCAAAATGCAACCATAAGGAAATTTATACAAATGGTCTCATTAGAAGATGGAAATCCGGCTCTAAATCACGAGGTTAATTTTTGCGAGTGAGGGACTGCAACAGGCCCTTTTATCTGCATTTTTTCATTCTTACCAGCAGTTTTGTTCCATTTCGAAAATGTTAAAACATCAGACAATAATAACACAAAGGGGAAAATTTCATATAAAATAAGAAACGGGCAGTCGGTACTGGGTGATTTGAGAAAATGCGACTAGCCAATCAGCGCAAAGATGACAAGCTTATGTTGTAAACATAACCCCCCGACGGGAGGAATTTGCACAGCAAAACTCGACCCAGTGGAGTAGGCTGCCTGCCATTTTATTCTATCCGAAAAATCAAAGCTAAAACGCAAAGAGAAATTGAAAATCTTTATAGAATAGCTTTTAAATGTCAATCAAATATTTATCGTTATAGAAATAGAATTTTATCTTAAAAATTAAATAATAAATAATGTTTTCTTTAATACCAAGAGCCTCCCCTCCCTGATAAAAATAATTGATCTGTGTTCTACGCGGGTTCTCCATTGCATGCGAAGCAATGGMCGACTTCACGAAGACTTCAGAAGGTCGTTGAAGCGAMGTTMAAGTCCAAAGTATCTTAGGAGGAACCATTGCAAATCCTTTTTCTTAGCTCTTCATGTTTCCTCTAAGCTTTGAGGTATCTACAACATCACTGAAAGAGCTAGAGCAGCTTAGCTCTACGTATTCCAATAGAGTTAAAGCGTTTGTTATTTTTGGTAGTGACAACAGTCGTAGTTCATCCTTTGTCGCATTTTCGGCAATAAGCCGCAAGCGTGCTCGACGATACAACAGGTTGACGTTATGTAACAGGCCGGTTACACATTTACTAGCTTTGACCTTACAACGACTACAAGAGCTAGTACGGTGACTGGGATTTTTCACGTAATGTCTTGATAGCGACTGTTTATGTTCAAACGACTCAAAACAAAATTCCATCGTGAAAAAAGTTCGACTAAATTCCCTTCTGAAATACACGTGTGTATTTAAGGTGGAAAATGATTCATATGAGCATTCAATTCTTAAAGGTTTAATTCTATAATCATTTTGTTTAGTTATGTAAATAAATTTAACACGACTTGTACTGTTTATCTGAGTGAAAGGAGAGCTGCGGGTTTTCCCTTTCCTTTATTTACACTTTCAAATATGACCGCTTAACAAAAATGCACGGGCTCACTGGCTTACAACCTTGGCGAATTCATATGCAGGCCTGGTCGCAAATCAATCACCCAGTAAATTTTTCTTTAAGTTTTCCACCAGGTAAAGGAATTTTTTTGTGTTTTGTAAGTGTACCAATCATTATATGGTTTGAAGAAAAGAAATTCAAAAATCAAAATAGTGGTATATATTTGAGGCGATTAAACTTCAGAAAATAGATTCCTGTGTTTTCTATAGTGATAGTCCTGGGGGGACTGGTTACAATAAGCGTGACGTAGCATCCGTCAGATGTTTTTTTTGGCGCACAATCGTTGCTAATGAGAACTTGGTGACATAATTCAATCGAATATTAATTCCCGATTTTCGTTTTTTTAATGTCAGATTCAAACCTGAATGACGGAATTTCACTAGTATTTCTCTGTAAATTTCGAGACTGTTCTGACTAAAGCTACGTCACACGTTTATTGTCTCCAGTCTCTCTGGGAGTCTCCCGATACAAAAAGCACAGGAGGCCATTTTCTGAACTTGAGTAGCCTCAAAAACACACCGCTATTTCGATTTTTGAATTTGTTTTCGTCAAACCATATTTAATGATTGGTAAACTATCTTTAGGAAACATAAACAATTCCTTTATATGCACTTCAATATTACAATTGGATAAAATATGAAATTGCACAAATGAGCACAAGCAAGATGTAGCGCAAACTATGAGTAAAAGAAAATGAGAAATCCCCACAACAAATCGGCTGTTTAATGTCAATGGGCTCATTTTCATATTTTAATTTGGGTTTCTAGCTTATCGTCAAATCCAACATCAATCACTGGATCCAGTGCCAAGAAGGAACCGGAAGTCTAGTGAACTGGAAGGCCGGAAGTGTCACGTGCAATGTAATCAAAAATGTTCCCTCAGCATGTCTCAATAATGCGCCTACTTTTTTCGACCTTCCCATTTTTGGGCCAATGTTCAAAGGACAAAATTCGTACTATATATTCAACTGCTACACATCTACGCTCAACTGGCCAACCCATGATCCTTGCGGAAGCAATGCACTGAAACACGTCAAGGGTGTTCCAAATCCTCATGGCAACATTTACATACGCTAAACGAGGGGCTAAAATCGATCCATAGTTTAGTACAATTAATACGAGTATTTCACATTAATTTCGCTCGTCAGGTTTTGAGGGTTTTGTACCAATTTTTGAGAATTTCATTGTAGGTAATAATAAATTATAACTCTCAATTTACTTCTTGAAACGAGTTGTGAAGCCTTAGCATTTTAAGTCGAGAAGTACGATAAAGACATTATTGTACTTTAGCTTCAGTGCTGTTAAATAACTTTAATAACTGTTTAATAACAGTTTAGATTCAGTGAATCTTAAATCTTAAGTCTTGAATATTGTTAATATCTCAAAAACAGCAAAAACAGTCAAATTTGTGTTTATGACTTTCCATTTTTTTCCTATCCAACCAATTTAAAAAATAATTTAACACACCAATAGATCTTTTAACATAAAAATGGCGTTATTACTTTCAATTTGTGTAGAACAAAACACTGCTAAATAAATTAAACTAGCTCTTACTCTACGTGGATCCCTTCTTATGTCTTACTCAATGAGTGATATTACACTCCACTCAAGATCACAATTTTTAATTTTTTTTTCTTTGCATACTTCCTTGGAAAAAAAAGTCAGTGTAAAAGGGTAAAATTGGAAAAACGACGGCCATAAAAATGCACATAATAAGATAAATTTTTTATGAAAAAAAACCCAGAAATTTTATTATCGGGCATCGTCCTTTAATTTTTAAGAATTCTTATTCGATTTTCTAAGTATATCCATCGACGGAAAGTAAAAATAAATATATATATATATATTGATAAATGATAAATTAAGAAAAAGGGAAAAATAATCACAGCGTACTGAAAGTTGTTTTTATCCAATACTAATTAACTTAGTTATAATGCAGCTGTCAGTAACACGAAGGTATATTTTATTCATCAATCGCTAGGTTATCTTTATTGGAATGACGCGGTGTGTACTGATAACTGTACATATCCAACGGCTAAGACTGACTAACTGATCTTAGCCTGAAAACATTCCAAAAGTAAAGAAATTATCAAACAATAGTCAAAGTTTCCAAGAATGACCTCATCCATTGCAATTCTGGCCGTGCTTTTTCTTTTCTTCGGAGTGCACAACAGCAAAGGCGAAGAAGCATCTGACTTGATACTGTTTGATTATCACCGTAGTAAAAATTTAACTGTACCAAGTACATCCCGAAGTCAGTCTGTACAGGTTAAGGACAAGATGGAATGTTTCGGCAAGTGCATTGGAGTTGGTTGGTGTCAATCGGGTAATTTCAAGACCACTCCAGAACATAATGGTCTTCACGTTTGCCAACTCCTGCCTTCTGATCGATTTACTAAAAGTAACACTTTAAAAGACAACCCTGTATGCGAGAACTTTAACGTTAAGGTAAAGTTGCTGTTGCTTCTTACTTTAAATTTCTCCAAATATCATCGTCTAAGTTATGGAGCTTTTTAATATTTCATTATTTTTTATCTCAACCTAAAAACGCCATCATCAACATTTTATTTGTGTTTTTTCTCCTTATCTTTTCAAATTAAATTTAATCTCAGACCCCCTGCCACAGAAAGAACAAGCCATGCCTTAACGAAGGCAGGTGTGTCTTTAAAAACAGTACGCATCAATGTCAATGTGAAAATGGGTATCGGGGAAAACAGTGCCAAAAAGGTAAAATCTTAGAATTATTATCTTGAAAGGCGTGCCTTTGCATCAAAGTTAGACGACTGTCGAGCGCCGTGCAATAACAAAAACCTTCTTTCACATCTATAGACAATTATATACAGACATCTGTCATTGCAGAAGCAACGGTCGTCCTGTTTCGATGCAAGGACACGGCTGCCCTTCTAAAATTCAAGAAGCAAACTAATGTTTCTAACTCGAGGCCAAGGTCAACGATCTTTGAATGTATTGGATAGACCATATGAAAAAGGCCGTGGCTACCGTAACTCCTTAGTTTATAAGATTTTTATTGTGTCATTGCTACCCGTTGAAAGAACACATCACAATGAATAAGATCTGAAAGTTTCAATGCTCTAACATTTAAGGACAAGAAATTACAGGTGTTTGAAATTGCAAAGGTTAGAGTGAAAATGAGTATGGAGGCCTAACCAGCCTCGTTTTCATGTTTTTGTTACATTTCAAATGCTCATAACTCTGCTGATATTTGATATTTGAAACTAAAACTCTACCAAGTCACTAATTGAGATATACTCCTTCATACGGTAAAAAGAGATATTTAAAAATATGGAGCCTTTAATGTGCTCATTCCCAGTCTTCTGCTCGTTTTTCATATGGTCAATAGGTCTAATAAAACTGTTAGCTGGAGTTGAAGGAAAAAAATAAATATTTTCATGAGTTATCACAGAGTGACACCATTTTTTAATCACAGTACCACCAAACTCTTGCAAGGCACTTCTCCAAGCAAACTCTTCCTTGCCGTCTGGATTGTATTCCATTTCCCCAGATGGTACCAATGTCATCAAAGTCTACTGTGATATGGTAACGGACGGTGGAGGCTGGACTCTAGTATACAGCTATACGTTCACAAACTATGGTAGTTTTAAAGCAACAAGAAATGCAGTGACACCACAACCAAACTGGCCGAGCAAGGGTAACGTCCCAGTATCAACCACCCCTCCCCTCAGTGAAACTGATTACGCCGCGTTGGATTTTGCTCTATGGAAAAAAATCGGTGTTCAAGAGGTAAGAGTATTAAAAAAAACTAAAATAGCCCTGCACTAGCTACTATATTTGACATCCCCCCCCCCCAAAAAAAAAAAAACCCTCAAAATAGCAATCAATAGTCAGTAGAGCAAAGTGACTACAGCGTATGCAATACTTGCTTTGCAGGTTATCATTAAATCCAACATCAATCACTGGATTCAGTGCAACGAAGGAACCGGAAGTCTAGTGAACTGGAGAACTGGAAGTTTTACATGTAAAGTGATCAAAGCAGTTGCCTCCGATTGTATTGATACTGTTCCTTCACAATTAGCTATTGCTAATTATGGGCCCTATTTCAAAAAGAGTTCTGGCTCGCTGACTACGTACTATCTCTTTGAAGTGTTCACAACAAAAAACTGGCCAACTCACGACCCTTGCGGAGGAAATCAAGACAGACACGTAAAGGGTGTGGCTAATCCCCATGGTAACATATACATACGCTAAATATCGTTACCCAGAACCAACGCAATCTCAGCTCACGATATGTAAAATATCTAAATATCTATGGCATAATAATAGCAAAACTGAGGTATACACCTAATTGAAAAAACGTATTCGTGTTTGAAAAGCTCACATCCTAGAAGCTAAGACCGAAAGGGATTTTGAGTACCACTAAATTGGGATTACATTTGCATATACGGTGTTTAACATGGTGCACGGTAAAGCAACTAGAGCTAGTAAGATTAACAGCATGATAGTCCTTTATGCTGGAGAGCTGTTTGTATGAAATTAGCCAAATTGTTTGTCTTCCCAAGTACCCCTTCGGTCTTGATTTGATGATTTGATGATTTGACCTTTTTGGACCCGATAAAGTTTCTTCAATTTAAGGTGTATATTTTGAACTTTGAATCAACTTTCCAGCAACATTTTTTGGAGGTTTGGATGGGAACATTTTTACATGCTTAGTCGAATAAGAGATTGCTTAAAATAACTATCATGATGGTTTTAAGTAAAACTAGTTGTTCAGGAATAACTATTAATGAAAGTTTTTGAAGAAACG